TGCTAAAAATCCAATTAACATGAGAAAGATGAACAAAAACAATGTCCAAAATGTATTCCAGATGCACACTTGGACTGTCATCAGAGACCCAAAGACACACTGGACAGTTGAGGCTTATATGCCACTTGGGACAAAGGAGAGGGGAGGCAGGGGTTTGGGAGTTCCAAGGAAAAGCAGGCAAATCACAGGTAGCTGAGAAAGAGCAAACCAGGTAAACAAATTCCTGCTGGGCCACCCAGAGACAATGGGACACAGAAGGGAGCTCAACAAACAGGCTTTGCTAGATTTCTCCCTGCCTGCCACATTTGGTTTATATTAAGATGCTAACGAGATGTTCCTTTCCCTTCATAGGTTTTTCTATCTGAATTCCTTTAGGCAGGTAAGGGGGGAAGACCCAAGGTTCTTTCTGAGTCTCCTGTTTGTTAATAACCAGCTTAAAAATCAATACCCCGAAAGCCATGCACTGGGATGGCAAAACACCGGCCCCCCTCACCTGCACTGTGGAGAGCTCCCTGGAGGCAAGCAGACTGGAGGGGCCGGGACCAGCACTGGGTCACCCCACTGGAAACACAGAGGAATGAACAGGTCCAGGTAACTTACAAGCAACAGAGTCAACGAAGAGGCAACAGTGAACAGAGCGGGGAGCTCATTAGCTCCCTGTCCAACTCTGGATTTCTCTCCTTTCCCCTCTTTATGCCAAACCAGGACGATGGGAAGTACGCTCCAACTAAAATCCTAAGGTTAATGTAAAGGTCTGCAGGTTCTCCAAAAACACTACCATCTCTGGAGAACATCTTTGTTATCTCATTTTGCAAGGATTGGAAAGAAAATTTCATGAAATAGCAGTGAGTTATTACTATCTCACTGAGAAAAATAAAGCCAAGCTCCCAAAGGACCACGGTGGTCTGTCACCTTTGGCGGAGTGAAGGTGTGACCGAGGGCAAAAGAAAACTACTGCAGAGAACAGCGGTCCCTGGAAGAGTTCCTGGGAGAGTCTCCTACTTTCTCATTATAGGTTTTCTGAGCTTACTATTCAGGGATTGCTGCTCCGTTTTTGGTAGGAGTGAAATAAGTACATCAAATCAAGTCTGATTATCCTGTCCAAATATCAAGACAGCACTCAACATGCATGACTGCAGGAGTGTTTTTGTCCTTCCTCACACTTTCAACAGCCCCGGTGTAAACAGAGACAAGAGAAGACGATGAGCCCAAAGCTGTGCTGTGTTCACAGCACCCACCACCATCAAATACTGCATTCGCCACTATGGACAGGGGTCCTCCCTCCTTCCTCTCTCCTCAGGAGGACCGATGACCATCCATCTGAAGATAAGTGGTCATGCACTGAAATAGTCTTGCAAGTGGGTCTGTTCAGCCACCAGGGCCTGCATCAGCACTTAGAAGGTTAAGTCTGCCTAATCAAACATACCCCCTCTTTTATCACAATGTAACAACATCAGTTCCCAAGATGAGCCAAATCCTTCCCTAAGTCATGCCTCTGTAGAGACTATTCCTTCATAGCCCATTTGTTCCTCCAACTAGGAATTGAACACATTCCAAGTACAAAACACTGTTGACAGGTGCTGTGGATACATCCGTTAACTAAAACTGACATGCCCCTGCAGTAACAGCAGCCACAGTCAAGTGGGAAAAGACAGACAGGCCATCAAGAGTATAAATGAAAACTGTCCTGCAGGGGCAAGCTACAAGGTGCTGTCCGTGAGAGCATTAGACTAGCAGGAAGGGCGTAACCTAACCTTGGGCGTAGGGAAGGCTTCTCTGAAGAACTGACGTTTGCGCTGCAATCTGATGAATGATTAGGATTAATTAAGCAAGGGAAACTGGGTGGAGGGGAAGAGTCCATCCATGTAGAGAAAGCAGCACGTATGAAGGCCCAGAGTTTGAGTGGGGCCTGGGGTGCAGCTCAGAGAGCCTGGGGACATGTTTTAGCTTCAGTGAGACAGGCCAGGTCACAGTGGGTAGAGCCTTATTAGCCACATCTAGGATTTTCGCCTTCCTCCTAAAACCAATGAGGCCCGTTTTGGTAGAACGACCGCAATGAGATGTGCCTCCATCCTGAAATGGGGGATGGACTGGAGAACAGAAAGAGCGGAGGCTCGGCGAGCAGTGGGGAGACGAGGATGACCAGAGCAATCGTCCGGGCGAGAAACCCAGCAGCTGGGCCCACTTAGCCCAGGGGTGGCGCTAAGACCAAGATGCAAGGACAGATGTGAGGTAAAGAGGGTGAATGAGGAGATGGGAAGTAATAAGGATTAGTACACAATGAATGGCACATGGAAGTGGAGGGTAATATTTACTGACAAAGGAGAGAGAGAATTTTTTTTCTTTTTAATCTTCACCCGAGGACACACCTACTGACTTTAGAGGGGGAGGAGGAGAGAGGGTTAGAGAAATATCAAGGTGAGAAACATTGATTGGTGGTTGCTTCTCGAAAGTACTCGGGAATGAACCCACAACCTAGGCATGTGCCCTGACTAGGAATCGAACCTGTAACTGATTCCTAGTTTGACTGGTTTACGGGACGAGGCTCCAACCACCTGAGCCACACGGGCCAGGGCAGGAGAGTGTTTTTTTCTCCTGTGGAAGGGATGGTTTGTGAGGAAGAAAGGCCTTTAGCTGAAACACACCAGCCCAGCTGATTTTTAGCTCTGTGACTACAAGCAAGTTATCCTCTTTAGAGAGGATAACTTGATTTCCTCATCTATGAAACACCAAAAACAACCATTCCTAATCTCATGAAAACAGCAGACAGATTAAGTAAAATAAGACAATGCATGTAAAGTTTTATCACAGAACTTCCACACAGGAAGTCCCAATAAATATCACCAGTGGTGGTGGTGATTACTATTTAAGATGTGATTTAGACTTCCCACCAAAGAGGGATGTATTGAACACACATTTCCTTTAGGTCCTCTCAGAACCCCATTATAATGCCAGTAAAAGTATTTTAAGTCACAAATCTACCTGAAAAAAGGTAAAACAAAAGAGCACCCACGAGGCAAGAGCAACAAACTTTCAGGAGGTGGGAAGCAGATGGGCAGCTGCTTTGTCCCCCTGCACCCTAAAAAGCAGAATCCTAAACCAGCCGTGGGAAAAAGCCCAGAACAATCTAATTTATTCTGCAAAATCCCCCATGCGGCTCAGGAATTGGAGATATCGAGTAACTCTGGAAGTGCGGCTGAAGGTGGGGCTAAACACAGAACCACCTTCAAGTCTGCTTCAGAAGCAGCAAGGCCCACTGCTCCAACATCCTCACCCAGCCAAGCAACTGCCCCGACCCTTGGCAGAAAATTAGTTTCCCCTCCTCGGGAGAAGGTAAAACAAAAAGTCCCTGGACTAGGAAACAGCAGGAAGAGATGGGGGCGGGGAAGTGCACTGACAGTGGATGATTAAGTGAATGTTTACATCTTGAACACTGTCCAGCCCCTCTCCCTGCCTTGGCTTCCAGGATGTTGGCAGCCAAGCCTCAACCTGCAGGCAGGAGATTAGAAGACCTTTCTCTGAGGAATTTACTAGCCCCAAAGGGGAACCAAAAAGCACTGACAACGAAGGCTGCAAAAGCCGATGGCCCTGCCAGACCACACACACAACCTGCCCACAGCTCTTGAGTGAGGGTCTCACTCTTGTGACGAGACAAGAGCCCAACATATCTGATCTCTGATATCATGATTATGTTGTGTTGATACAATACAAATGAGGGGTTTTTATGGATACAATTAAGGTCTCTAATCAGTTGACTTTAATCAAAAGAAAAGTATGCTGGCTGGACCTGGCTTAATCAGGTTAGCCCTTTAAAAAAGGGTTTTAGCGGAGACAGAAGTCAAAAAAACACTCGCCGCACTGGCCTTAAAGAAGCAAACAGCCATGTACGAATGGCCTAGAGGGGTAGCCTTCAGGAGCTACAAGGCTCAGTTCCACAACTGCAAGGACATGAATTCTGCTAATAATAAGCAAGCTTGAAAGAGGACCCCGATCCACAGATAAAACCCCAGCTGCAGCTGACACCCTGACCATGGCCTTGTCACATCCTAAGCAGAAGATCAAGCTGAACTCTGCCTGGTCTCCTGACCCATGGGGATTAATAAATGTATATTGCTTTAAGACACTAAGTTAGTGTAATCTGTTATATATCATTAAAAACTGATATAAACCTGTATACTAACAAAGGTAAATTTTATTTACGTAAATATTACCTCAATAAACCAGGATGAAAAAAAATATGATAGCAGACATGGAAACCTCTTTGGAGGTTTCGAAGATAAAATAGGAGAAATCACCCAGAAAATTATGATTTCAATGTCTGTACTTGCAAAATAACAACTTATAACTCCCTACTGATACACTCAAATATTTTTTCCCAACTTTCTGTTCTGAAAAAGTATAAACCTGATTATCAGAAAGACCAGTTTTAGATTCACCGGCTGTTAACATTTTGCTAGTCACTTTCTCCCTATCTCAGCTTTGGCTGCACTATCTGAAAGTAAGCTGCAGCATCATGACATCTCAGCCCTGAGGGATATTCTCCACATAGCCAAAGCCTCACTGTCACGCCTGACAAATGTAACAGTGGTGTAACAGTATTACTTAATGTACGGTCCATACTCAAAAGTCTCCAACTGTTCCAGAAATGTTCTCTATAGCTTCTTCCCATTCCAAATCCAAGACCCTATTACAGAGTCATGCACTGCATTTGATGACCCTACATCCTGAGTCTCCTGTAACCTGGTGTACCATGTCCCCAAACAGTCTTTTATATTTTTCATTTAATTTTGGTCATTCATGACATTAACAATTCTGACCCAATTTAGTATTCAACTGTTCCTGGTATACAAAATCCAATGGTTTTGCTTCATTAGTGCCTACTACAGTCTTCAGCAGAGTGTAGGCACTGAAATACCTGCATTCTGACAGTCTACACAGGTCAAGAAGACAGAGACAGGGTAGTTCCTTCCACCATTTAAGGTCCCTCTACTGTGACTCACCGCTGGGTGTGAGCAGGCCACGGGGTCTGGTTTGGCATGGGCACTGAATTCGTGGGACTCACAAGCATGGCACTATAGATATTGGAAGCGACCACAAGGATACAGAGGAGGATGGGCCCGATGATTGCCCCTTCAAGGCCCAGGTAGTATGCTCCACCAGCCACCGCCAAGCCGGTCAAGTAAGGATGGCCACCTCTGGAATGAAGAGCACACAGATTAGCTCACGACTTTCAACAAACACGAACCCCGGAGTAAATCTGAAACACATTCTCTAACACCATGTGCGTTCTCTAACACACAGGCTTTTGACTACATTATCAGCTTTCTTCAGATTATCTCAATGCGAATAACTGAACACTGTAATAACACTGAGATGCAAGAATTTTCTGGCTCACCTACACAACACGTCTGACATCTGCCTTGCATACAGGCCCAACAGCTGAAGGAGTGAAGTCGGCAACGTGAACTGGTACCTTGCACCCATCATGTTGCTGCCCGAAGAGGGTTAATGCTGGCTTAGGATCGGAGTATATTGGACACCTCCATCAAGAATAATTAAGTGAGCCCAATTTAGCATGTAATTTTTTAATTGTGCTTTTTTAAAGATGACAACAATACAATAGCATTCTTGTTACTCATAGGGCAGCCTCCTAAAATACAGTTTTTAATACAGGTTGTGATAAAGTCATCAGGAGGAAAACAGCTGCCACGAACCTGAATATTTTATCACGGGAGAGTCATCACTGCCCTCCAGCTTATCACAGTACCACTCACAAACTGGATGAAATAAGATACTTTATGGCAGCCCAGCACACTGATCACAAAAACAATGGCCACTGACATCAGGGGAACTTGGAAAAGGTATGGTTCTGGGTGTTTCTAGTCTTTAAACACACATGACTACAGTTTAGTGAGGGGCAAATGACAAATATCCTGGAAGGATGTTTTGTATTCTACTATAGTTCAATAAGTGATATTTAAGGTAAATGAGTCTTCAGGAAACCAATACATTATATTTACTTGTCTTCCTTATTCCAAAAAAGGATCCAGGGCAATATTCCATATATGCTATGTCAATAAGCTTCTCCCCTAAATGATATATCTAAGTAAAGTTTCCATCAAAAATGTTTACTGCTTAAAAACATGTCTGAGACCTTTTCAATAAAAGCCTAATTTATTAAAAAGTAAAACAATTTATCCCAAACCTTGCATGTCCTAATGATGCTGGTTAAATAAGGTATTATTTTATTAAGAAAAAATCACATAAATCTTCAATTTTACCTAGAAACCTTAATATAGAATGTGCAGTAAAGTTTAAAGAAAGGAAGGCGCTTAGCTATCGACTGCACCTATTCCCACTGTTTAAATTTGAACTTGAAGCACTAGCTAACTGCCCTCTGATGTTTTCCTTCAGCCCTTCATCTTCTCTCTCAAGTATCAGGCATAAAAGCTCCTGTAAGTACGGCTGGTTTATGGAGTTGATTGTTGTGTTTTGTTCTGGGTTTCTGGGGTTTCAGAGTAGTTCTACATCACTTGTTTTCTATTTCAACTTACTAGAGAGAAAACAGGTGACATTCAATTTGTCCTTTATATAATTTCCAATTACCTGAAGAGTGTACTCTTTCTATAAACTTGGACCCCATCTACCCTTATTGTGATGTGGTTTACTTTAAGAAAACTTAGTACTTCATTATGATAGCTTCAGTAGGCTATAGCCTGAATTTGAGAAGCTGATCAAAATTCAACATGTGGTTACATCCTAGATTTTAATAAGTAATGCGAATCTGAATACGTAACTAAATGAGAACTAGCTTGATTTAATGCAATTTCTAGAAGAAATATCAAATCCTACAAAAGTATACATTTATTTTTGATATTATTTGGCCAAAGTTTGGCTTCTGCCTTGTATTTAACTTGTACTCAGCAAAGAAACATACTATACAATATCGTAAGTAAAAAAGCTGTTTGTCCTATATTAGCTTGAGGAGGTCTGATTTTACATGGAAATCGCCAGACATACAACGTAATGATGTTTTTCTCCAAAAGCAAAGAAGTTCTGAAAATATCACTAACTTGTTACATTAAATGTTTTATGTACTTCTAGTAATATTTCTTTCCTAGATTAACTGTCACTAAATCAGATAATTATTCACAATTTTGTTTTAACCCATGCTCTCATATATTAAGTAATATATAATACCAAAATATCTTACAAACAATATTAATTATATTAAAGTAAACTTCAGTTATATCAGTGGAATCACAGAAGGCGACTTCACTAAAAACTTCTACCGGCTGTCCTTTCTTCTAGTTTCAAAAGAAAAAGAAAAAAAACCCTCTTCAAAAAGGACACAGAAATCCCTGGATATGATTCACCGGAAGTTCTGTGGAATACTTACCCTGATATATCAGAATAGATGGCAGTATCTACAAAGTATGTTGGCAAGAGATGAAAAACCAACAGTAAGATGGCTTTGCACCCTAAGCCTTGTGTGAGCCACAGGTCCAGAACTGCAGGTATGGCTGCCCAGTACGTCCCCAGAAACGGCACTGCTCCAAGGATTGCTGCTAAAGCTAGTAAAAGATTAATTAAGAAATGCAACTGAACACCATCATCAAAACAATAACAAAAGAACAGAACACAGACACTAGCTCATCCTACTCAAAAATTTCCACCAAACAAGTTAAATATCAACTCAAATTTTCGGGGAATGATACGCCCTTGTGGAACTGACTTTGCTAGTTAAATGAAGGTCCAGTATGTTAAAACTTTGTACTGAAAATCTTTCTAAAATGTGTGTTTACTTCATAAGTCTATTCTTAGGCAACAAAATTTTTGCATCTTGCAGTTGTTATTTTGAATCAATGATTAGTTAATATACAGTTTTATAATGTGACTATAGAACATTGGTCAAAATTTGTACTGAGCCCAAAGCCAAATCAGAAATTAGCTTCTATCGCTCAGATATGACTACACATTCTTTACCTTGATTCTTTCTAATAAAAAATGGAATGCAATTTAAAAATAGCAAACACTCAGCTAGCCCAAGGACCTCATTACCCAAGCTTGTCCCCTTCCAGAGCAGTGTGTTAGAGCGCTCTACACAGCGCGTGGCTCTCCTGACTACGAGTCAAGCAGACGTGGATCCGTTAGCCAAGTCTGTGACCCCAGAGAACTGTGGTTCCTCATCTGTGCAACAAGGACCTCACCCACCCTGCCTGCTTCACGGGCCTGTCGTAAAACCACCTCACAGGCTCCCGGGGTGCTCGCATGTCAGAGGGTGGTTTTGTGGACAACAAAGTAGGAGAAAACCTGGATGAACTTGGGAACGTAAAGAAAGAAGGGAGCACAAAGCAAAGAGGAAAACAATGGTGGTACAGGCAAATGTGGAAAGCAGATGTATCTAGGAAGACAAGCAGCCACAGAAATAAAGAAAAAAATGGGAGGAGAGGAGCAGAGATAACATACAGGAAAAGTAAAAGGTCATTAAACCATCCTGGTGCTCATGGAATGTGGGTATTATCAGAACAGACCTCAAGAGGGGTGGACAGAGTTTATGGGCCCTCAGAAGCACTCATCTCGCCTGTGGGACCGTCTCCTTGCTGGGACAAAGCTATGTGACCAACTCATTGCTCCCTGCCAGTAAGTTTGATTCAAACATTTACTGAGCTCCAATTACGTGCTAGGTGTGCTTAGTGGGAGGGCATTCATTCATTTAACAAATACTTATGCAGAGCTTTCTGTGTGCTGGGTATTGCTCTAGCTACTGGGTATACAGCAATAAATAAGCATTAAAAATCATATTCCTGCTCCTAATCTGGACTAGATTAGATCTCAAAACTCAGTATTTTAAATTTGAGGAAAATGACACTTCCCAGTGTATGCAAAATGGCTTAACTTTCCTTAAATAGAGGGCAGCAGAAGTTATGACACCACTGTTACCTGATGGTATGAAGACAATGTTGATGCCAAATATAGTATGAGTCAGCCAGGTGTACAGTCCGTAGAAGCCAGCCATTTTGAGGGAAGCATCGAACACCCCTCTGGAATGCCCAAAGATAAGAGGGAAAGTAAATAAACACAGCAGAGTGCGATGCAGAAAAATCACTATGTCTAGGCTTCTGGCTACTTCATTACAAATCAGATAACAGCTTCAATTTTACCAGTGCCCAAGGATGCTGCTTTTATTTGTTTCATAGAAACATAAAGACCGTATTTTAAAACCCAGAAATATGTTTCCTAAACTATTGTTTCACATTTCTTTCTAGTGAAAAGATAACTGAAATGAAACACCTTTATATACCCTGGTCACTGAAATAATTAATTTTTCACTTCCAAAGCAGATCTTTTACTACCAAAACAGATGAAAAGGAAATGCAGCGTGAATATCATATTTCTGAGGATTTAGTTAAACTCGAAGGCCTCCAGGCCGGGGCCAGCCCTCCCCTTTGGGAAGAGCAAGTGAGGGACAATATAACTCGATTAACTCCGCAGTAACGTCTGAGATGAAAATGCAAAAGGGGTAAAAGCAGACACACATTCAGTGATTAATAGGACGGAAGCCCATAAAAATCTGCAATCTCAGGCACTTCGTTTATGCTTTTCAACTAGAAGATTACAAAGACAACAGTGCACAGGGAGGAGAAATAAGGGACTGCTCGGAGAGCGCACAAAGGCAGCGAGCGAGTCTTCAGTCACCACGGGCATCGCACAACCACAAAACCAGGATCCCGATTCCGGAGGGCCCAGGAGAGGGGCGCTCGTCTACTCGCGAGGGAAGGAAAAGCTATCTGCAATGGAGAAAGCAGAGGCTGTGGCAGCAGCGGTGCACTGAACACAGAGAAGGAAACACCACGTTTTTCCAAAGTGCCCCAAGAGGTTTACTGTAAGAATACAGTCAAGCTCTGAAACCTGGTGACTCGGTCATTCAATAGGGTTTGGAGACAGGGATTTGGTGACAGAGTGGCTCCCCAAACTGTGAAAACTTCTTTGTCGTCCCGACCAGCAGTTTTTACTCAAGAATGTCTCAAAGGTGCCATGTGACCTCTGGCAGTAAGGTCACAAACTAAAGTGGTTATCACAAAGGCCAAAAGGAAGGGAGATGGCCCATAGGAAACAGACAAGGTCTGAACAGTAAAACTGACTGGAGGAGACAGAGGAAAAGGAAAGTGGCGGGGAGGGGGGAGAATGGCAGCATCCCGCAGACCGGGAGAACCCAGAAAGGGAGAGGACATCGAAGAAAAGGCCACACATTCAGTTTGGTCAACGGTTAGAAAAAGGATGATGACAGTACCCTAAGGTAGCTGGGAACAAGAGACAAGGCTTGACAGAGGACAGAAGATCTGAGGTGGACCAGAATGGGTTAATCACAGGGAAGGATGAGATCTCCCAAGCGGGAAGCGTAGAAAATGGGGCAGTGGGCTGTGTTCTCCTAAGGGACCTCCAGACAAAGACACACCAGCCGAGAGACAAGGAAACCATTTCTGGAGTGGGAGGAAAATCACTAGTGTGGTCTTCCCAGAGACAAGGGAGGAAGAAGCTTCTGAGAAGGAGGGGATAATAAGATCAAATATCACACAGAGATTAAGGAGAATAAATCTGAGAAAAAAAGTACAGAATAAAGTCAATGAGAAAAAATGCAGATGTAGTACCTTCATCAACCTTATGTTATTTTTTTTAAACTTTAGGTTATTTTAACAATTTGAAGCTGAAGATAAGCTGACATCAAAGGTTCAACAGAACATCACAACAGAATCGCCTGTCTGGGTGGCGAGTAAGCGCCACTCAACCCAAGGAGGACAACTCCAGCAAACGGCACGTTCTTCCTTCTTCCGTCTTCAGGAATACTGACTGTTCATGATATTCTCACTAAGGCAACGTTCAAGTAATTTTGTGAACGCTAAATGCATCATATATTGTTTGCAGTTACTAACATATTCATGTAACCCAAAGAGAGGAAAAGGCAGTAATTTCCCTCCATCTTATGACTTATGATCTGACATACAGCTTTATAAAACAGCAGAGGAAAATCTCCTAACAATTTACTAAGAAAAATTTTTAATTCCCTCAAATTCCTAGCCATGTTTCTTTTTCCTGTATCAGCTTTACTGAACTATAATTTATGAACAATAAAACTCACCAACTTTAAGTACATAATTCAGTAGACTTTGACAAATGTCATAACCACCACTACAATCAAAATCCAGAACGTTCCTATCACCCCAAAAAGTGCCCCCTCGTGCCTTTTCATAGTCAGTCCCTCCCTAAACCTGGGTCTCTGAAAGCCACGGTGTGTGCCTTCTCCAGCTCTGCCTTCTCTACAGGAGTCAGGGAAGGCAACGAGGACAGAAGAAGGGGTCAGAGAGGAAAAGGGGTATGAAGGTACTAAGCAAACCGGCCTTGAAGGCAGAGGAAGAGGCCACAAGCCAAGGAGTGCAGGCAGCCTCTAGAAGCTGGAGAAGACAATGAGACGATTATCATTTATTTCTGAATCTACGTACTAGATCATTTTGGGACACTAACTCAAAATCTAAGCACCCAATTCAGTAAAGGCCAAGATGTCGGGTGAAAATTTATTTCTGGTATCCAGATTTCTGTCATATATTACTAATATTTTCCCATGCAGGTCGACCGGATACCTAATGGTCCTCGAAGCCAACAGACCACCCAACAGGAGCGTGGTCAGTTGCATGACAGCCTGAATCTGGTCCCCGCCAGGACCTTGATGACATAATGGCTATCCTATCCCAGCTGACACTTCCGAAGGGGAGCTGGAGCTCAGTATGTACTTCTTCAGACAAACTGGGGTCTTGTTCACCCCACTAGAGTGAAATGTTCAGGAAAACAGAAGTGGATCATGGGGGTGAGGAGCAGAGGCACGGGGAGCAATGGGACAGGCCACAAATGATGCTCACAGTGCGTGCGCCCACGCTCGCCGGCACAACTTGAGGCAGAGCTCCTGTGTCCCACTCTGGCCTTCGGTGAGCCCGGTGCCTGGACCCGGAGGTAGTCTGCCAGCGATGTAGTTCCTGGACACAGCAACTGTGAGTGGGTCATCCTTGCCTTTCCATCTGAAATAGCCCAGGCCCTCATTTGAAGGTTTTGTTGTTGTTTTTTAACTGAACTACATTCCCAGTTTAACTGATGTCCTTGATTTCTGACCAGAGGTCTCTTTTCTGGATGAACAAGGGGACCTAACAGGAATCAGTGAAATTATATATGCGTCATGTAACACAGAGCTTGACACAAACGTTAGGGCAGAGGATGGACTGAAAAAAAGGATGAGACTGGAGATCAAGGGCTCAGTGCTTAGGAGGCCACTGAGAGACAGAACAGTGGGAACCAAAGGAGTGGCAGGAGGGGGAAGACAGGGATGAGGTGAATGAGTGAGAAACGTTAGGGAAGGAAGACTAATAAGACATGGATTCAGCAGATAGAACAGGGAAATGGGAGTCAGGAGACCCGAGACAGTCTGGCTCTGTCACCAACTGCTTTGGAATTCTAGTCCCAGCATTTAACCACGACGTGACCCTGAAAACCATATAAATTCAGAGCCTCACTTTCCTTGAGGAGATAACAGCAGTCACTTTGTAGTGTTATTACAAAGATTAATAATGCAATTAAAGTGCTAAGCTTAGTCCCTGGTACACAGTAAGAACTCAATTAAATTGGGGCTATTATAGAATTTTGTCATTATTTCCAATTAGCATTACAAGGCTAGAAATAATGCACATAGTTTCTCTTTTCTCCTTCCAGGTTTTGGAAGTATACTTATTTTTGCTTTCTGCTGAAGAGGTACAGGGTATGACAATGCTGAAAATTCGAGTAGCATACCACAAAGTTTTGGATTAGTTATTTTAAATTATGAGACACTGATCAGCTTACATGAGCAATAACCCAAAATACTGAGGATGCGATTGATCACTCATCTCTCAGGAATCTAAAACTCAATTTGCTAGAATGATTCACTTTCACAATCAAAGATTTATCTGGCATATAACTAATGACATGAACAATACAGTTTGAATGGGCTACCAGAAATCACTAGTGTAATCAGTGCGAGCACATTCTTACAATCATACCAATGAAAGATCATCCTCTTACTGATATCAACCCATTAATCAATACTTTTTGGATCCTCAGATTGGAGGAGTATTTTCTCATCTTACCTACAAGACAGATATTATGAGACCCTTCATCAAATCCCTTTCAAAAATCACAACAGCTATGATTTGTGGCATTTTCTAAGAGTGGTTATGTATGCCTTGTGCTAGGTGACTACATGGTACCATCCAGCATTACCCTTCCCTTCATAAATGCTCACAACCATGTATCAAGCCTCTACTGCAGAAATGTACAGAAAACCTATGTCAAGTTCACCAGTGTAATGTGTATGAAACAAAGTGTTCCTCCACTTTCTACCTCAGTCCTCTATTTTGAATAGTTCTTGTGCTCAGTCTTCTGGGACTTCTCCTTTCAGTGATTCTCAAATATTGACAGTTGCTTTCTAACTACATCTCCAGGCTCTTGAAGAGAATTAAATTCAGAAGACTCTGGAGGCTCCTTTCCTCCCTGCTTTTGGTAGCACAGCTGTGTTCACTTAACGGGTCTGATTTAGCTCAATGGAAGAAGAGACTGGATTGATAACAGCCACTGAGTGTTTCTACAAGGTCACATCCTCACTCAGACACCTTCCACTGTTAGATGTCAGTCCTATGGACCTCTGGGACCCAGCACCATTGCAGACTGCTCTGGGGCAGGGTCCCCCCTACTGGAAGGTATGCCATAGTGCATCCAATCCAGTTAGGCCCCAACAAAGCACACACCTGAGAAGAAAAGTTGCAGGTCCAAGCTTTTTGCTTCTAAGCTTTTCCCTGAAAAATGCTATTGTATATTTATACTGCAGTGTGCAGTACAGATGTGTGTGCCCATGCCTCATTAACACAACTACATCTCTAACTCCTCTGCACCAGGGGCTTGAGCCAATTTCAAATGATTCGTTAGAATTTTAATTCTTCTTCATCGTTATAACCTCCACCTTCAT